TATGAGAGTTAAATTAAATTTTAATAAAGACAGAGACATGGTCTCACCATTAATATTCAAAAAAAAAAAAAAATAAATGACCAACTATCACAAAATATAATTAAAAGCCAGATTGTAAGTTTTCTTTTTATGGCATTCATATAATAGTAAAGTAAATATAACTCAGAAATTGACTTTTGACTCAAAATAATGTATATGCACATATTCAAAATAACATGCAGGTGTTCAAAATAATGCACAGATATGCATAATTTCGTAGTTTTACAGTAAGTTAATTTTAAAATTTTATACAATATAATTATAACAAATCTTTGCTAATAATTATTAATCATTAATTTTTTAATAATAAAGTTTTAGAGTTTGTGAAGGTTGCTCACCTATTCTATAGAACAACTGCAAATATAACCATAGAAGAGGTGATTATACTGTAGAGAGGTCTGACTGTATTTAAAATAAATATTTGTAATTGTATTTTTAATATATAGTCAGACCTCTTTAAATGCAATATGACTGCATATTCTCTAAATACATGTTCTCTCTAAATGCAGGTTTAAATTTGGGACCCACATATATATTTGATCCCTATAAATGTATTTTTCTTAATTGTTCTCTTAATACATATTGCTAAAAGTCTGGTTTCAATTGCAATGTATTTAGAAAAAGTTGACTGTATAAAAATTTAATCAAACATGCACTTAGAGAGGTGTTGCATTTAAAGAGCTAAAAATCTATAGATGTAATCTTAGTTGGAAGAAGATGTGCATTTAAGAAGATGCTTCATAGAATATACACTTAGGGAGGTAGCATTTAGGGAGGTCTGACTGTATCTTATATTTAATAAATATTTAATAAATATTAAACAAATATTTTGTAAATATTTAACAAATACTTAGACAAATTTCGTGATAAAAATAAGAATATATATAAATAAATATACGAAATATTACCTTTTTATATATATATCCAAGTCGAAATATATAACTCTCCAAATTGTCATAAGAATAATATTACGTCCCAACCAAAGTTCCATCTCAGATTGTAATTCATACAATACTAGTCAGGTTTTTTTTCATTAAAGTTTTGAGATATTTTATTTAGAGAATGTGGTTTTTCTAAAAGCGATGAAAGTTTTTCAATAAATCTATATCTTTTAAAATGTTCAAGAATCTGACTTATAGAAGACCTGCCCACATCTAAGTGTTTTGCAATTTTCGAACTGATAGGCCTTCTAAATTTTTTTTAACTATTTGCCAACGAATGTGCTTTGAAAGTATCATTATTATTTTTTTTTTTTGCATTCAACCAGAAATACGCGTAGTCTTATAATATTTATATTACAGCTATTATCATAAATCCTGGGACACCTGCTCATTACCCGAAATCTTTTTTGTCATTCGGTAAATTACCTGACTCTCCAAAAACTACATCGCTGTCTTCAGACCTTCAGACCTTCAGTCCGGAGGCAGTGATGTAATTTCTGGAGAACTAGGTAATTTACCGAACGACCAAAAAGATTTCGGGTAATGAGCGGTGGGTCCACCAAAATTCAGCAAATCGGCCCGAATTTGGGGTCAGGGATGGACCAGAGCAAAGCGGTATTACAGCTATTATCATTATTTCTGGGGCACCTGAAGAATTTTCAGATGACCAAAATATTCTCTGTTTCATTCGGTAAATTATCTAGCTCTCCAAAAATTACATTGCTGTCTTCGGACTGAAAATCCAGAGATAGCGATATAGTTTCCGATAAGTTAGGTAATTTACCAAATGAAACAGAGGATATTTCGTTATCTGAAAATTCTTCAGGTGTCTCAGAAATAATGATAATAGCTGTAAGCAATAATACCAGCCAACTAGATTATAGCAAAATTATCATTTGGGCAGCTTTACTTAGTGCATAGACTGCCACTTTATTAGTAAAAATTCTGTGTGATTTTGGAAAAAATTTATTAATTCCGGCCTATTCCGACCCAAATTCGGGCCGATTGCTGAATTTTGGTGGACCCTCTAATCTACTCTAAGCAGGTGTCCCAGAAATTATGATAATAGCTGTAATCAACTGATCTTTTTTGTTCTGCTCACTTTACCGATACTCATTTCGTAGACTTAACATTTCACGAAAACAATTCTCTAGCATGTTTTATTTCACCGATATTTATTACATTACTATTATCATAATTCCTGGAACACCTAATAAAAAATTAACCGAATGATTTTTGGTCGATTCGATTAAGTTTAATCGGTATATAAAAGATATAGATTTTTATATTACATGTAATACTTTGTTCTACAGATAATTTTATCATTATAATGTCAGCATTATTGAATTTTCGTTTGAATACTTGCCAAATATATTTGGTATGTTTAGTTTGCACGAAAATTTATAGATAAGTCTGTTCTTTGTCAACCAATAAATCTTGACAAGAAATATAAAAAAGGTACTGTGTATGTTTACAATAAACATATTACACGAATAAGTGTTAATATTAAAAAGTTAGATATGATCGAAAATTTATCGCTTGTTTATAAATGTAATTCGATGTTTCAAAAAAATTTAATATTTGTCGACAAGCAATTCGATATTCCAAAACGTTAATATTTGTCGAAAATGTGTTACGGAAGTTTTCAATATCTCCATCGACTTATAGAAAATTTGCTATCGCTTAAGTATTTGGCAATTTTTCGAACTAACAAACCTTCTACATGAAGGCGCTTGAAGGTATCATATTTCTGTATTCGATTCATACGTATGTATTATCACCCTTTCAACAATTCTTCAAAGAACTTACTTTTTTCAGAAACATTAACATTTATAAAGCTTGCGTTTCTGATCATATGCATCATATCGATCTCGGTCTTTTTAAATATCAATTGGATGTAATCTTATAAATTTAAATTAGTCACCTGATCTTAAATTACGTACCCACATACATATATATGAGTGTCGCTAAAAGAAAACCCGAAAATTTAAATATAAGTCATATTTAAACTTTCGGGTTTTCTTTTAGCGACACTCATATATCAATTTATTGAACCTATTATGCCGAAATCATAAACTTAACCAAATCGGCCAAAAAATCATTCGGCTAATTTTCCAGGATTATAATAATGGCAATAACGGATAAATAATTAAGATATCCGGTTAACCTAAAAGATAACTTAAGGTAAATATAATTATCAGATAAAAACAATCGTAATCCTAACCTTACATAGGCGCCCAATCTAAATCCGACGTATGATACATATAGATCATTAATTTTCAATTGGTATATTGTTTACGTACGTATGTACTAATGTATTTTAGAAATGCATGTTTATACTATATTTATCAATGATTGAATGTTAAAATCAAGTTTCATGTAATAAAACCCAAAACATATTAACTATAAAATGTTTAGTTAACATCGCTAGTCAGGATAGAATGAATTTCAAAATGTCAGTTACCGGTAATAAATTATTAGAACATGACAGGCATAGCGGAAGATACTAGTAATTATACTGTATATTGAATATTTTTTTAATTAATCCTGTAATTTGATTGGCTGATAGTCATGCATTGATCTTGCCCGAATATAACTTAGGATATACGTAACCGTTAACTTGGTAAAACTGGTGACTATTACAAAATTTACAAAACAATGAACAATGTTTGTGCAAGTGATTTTTATTTTGAGAATCGAGAATATTGGTAACTTTTTTTCACTTTGAAAACATGATAAAATGACGTTTGTTTATTTTTTTATTTATGCAATATAAAACAACATAAAATACAGGCGTGACCGGCAAGAATTTCCAACTATAATTTATTGCTAATAAATTTAATTTTTTAAAATAATAACCGACTAAGCCGGTATAGCCTATTAAAATTATTGACTCGGCTAATTTTATTAATAAACTACAATCATTAAAATTCAGCATCAAGAGTAAACATATTATCGGAAGGATCGTTTTGTGATGATTTACTCATAACGCCTGCTTTTTGATAATCTGAAACACGCTTCTCAAAGAAGTTAGTTTTACCTTGCAAAGAAATTAAGTCCATGAAATCAAATGGATTTTCAGATTTATAATATTTTCCACAACCGAGCGCTACCAGTAAGCGGTCTGCTACGAATTCAATGTATAATTTCATTAATGTCGCGTTCATCCCGATTAGGTTTACAGGTAAAGCTTCGGTTAAGAATTCTTGTTCGATCTTTACAGCTTCAGTAATGATCGCTTCAACAGTTTGTGTTGATGGTCGATTATGTAAATGGGTGAAAAGTAGGCAAGCAAAATCGCAATGAAGTCCTTCGTCACGGGATATTAACTCGTTAGAGAAAGTTAATCCCGGCATCATTCCTCGTTTCTTGAGCCAGAAGATTGATGCAAAAGCGCCAGAAAAGAAAATTCCTTCCACGGCGGCAAATGCGATTAAACGTTCAGCAAATGACGATTTTTGGTCTGAAATCCATCTGAGGGCCCATTCTGCTTTCTTTCGAATGCAAGGTACTAATTATTTATAACAATAATTTTTAATCGGTGAAATCATTTCCAATTTTGGCACAAATCATAATTATTAGCTACTTACTAGTTTCAATAGCATCAAATAAATAATCTCTTTGTGCTGGATCTTTGATATAAGTATCAATCAAAAGTGAATACATTTCTGAATGGATATTTTCGATCATGATTTGAAATCCGTAAAAACATCTTGCTTCTGGAATTTGAACTTCGTTGCTAAAACGTTCAACTAAATTCTCGTTAACAATACCGTCGGAAGCGGCGAAGAATGCCAAAACATGAGAGATAAAATATCTTTCATCGTCATTAAGTCTATATTCCCAGTCATTCATATCTTTTGAGAGGTCGACTTCTTCGACAGTCCAAAATGAGGCTTCTGCCTTCTTATACATTTGCCAGATCTATAATAAATCATACAGATAAATATTAATGTTTAGTTGTCAATAATAGATATTATTAATTATTATTTATGATTATAAAGAAAACTTACGTCATGATATTGGATAGGGAATAAAACGAATCTTCGGGGGTTTGGTTTTAACAAAGGCTCGTCTTCAACGTTTTCAGCGTTGTTAATTTTTGTTTCTTCAATGATCGAATCCTCCTCTTGTTTTAAAGGAGGAGAAATAAAGAGTTTAGAAACACTCAAACCCATATTGTTTTCTTTATTCTGGCTCGAATCTCTAAGATGTTTCCTTCCCGACTTCCTGGACGTTGCATCCTTGAGAGTTTTCTTGTTGTGCTTTCCATGAACGGTGTTTTGATGCGGGGGATATAGTGTATTCATGGTTGCTTACAGGTAGTTTTTCTTTTTGTTTTAAAATGCGTTGAAATAGTTTTCCTATTAAAGAAAAGTTTTTCAAGACAATTGTAATTATTGTGATTTTTACTCAAGAAAAACGAGCGATATTTATACTCTCTATACCCCTGATTTAAATTATTATTAGGTTATAAATGGTTGGTCAGCAACGTGTAAGCAAAACACATTCTGATCGCGATCTGTTTTTATTTATAGACTTTTTCGGAATTAATAATAAGCCCCTCGATCTGCAATAAATCAATAAATCGCGAAAACATTACTGGTATTACTGCATTGCAGGAACCGCAAAAAAGATCGGGGTATGTGGTTTATATTAAACAAATGCAGGAGCAAACGAAGATAAAATATCAATATAAAAAAATCTATCTCAATGTTCAGGCATTTGGCACTTTTAATTTACGTATCAGCACAAGTTGTTAAAACAAGAAATTAAATTGCACCTGTTCTTTTTAAGCTTGTTTCAAGAACCCAAAACAAAATAAAAATATTCTAAGCTGTTGAATTAGCAGAAATGAAAGTTTCTGCTTGTACACATGCAAGATCAGAGTATTTGTAATAAATACCCCCGTGATCTCGATAGGTCATTAATGCTAAAAATATATTAGATTTGATACTTAGTCTTCGAAATATCACTAATTTCCTTTTAGGTGTTAATAACAGGGATGGCATGTCACTAGAGCTTGATCCAATGGATATCCGACTATCCATTTGTTCATTTACCGGATAATCTTCAAGATTCAGATATCCGAATCAAAATACGGTTAATTCTGAACATAATTCTTTTTATGACAAACGCATTTAGATCTGTGTATAGTTGATAAAATCGCATATCCAACTTCTTTTCTTGGAAAATCCCATTTTTTTTAATTGAATATTGTCCATTGAATATACACGACAACATTGTTATTTAAGCGACTCATAGAAGTTTCTCTAAGTAAATAATTTTCGCTATCCATTATTATTGAAGTATGTCATTTATTTGTCACTACTAATACAGTATAACACATTGTTATTAATATTAATCGAGCATCGGAAACAGATATCCGACTATCTGTAAATATTTATCTGATACAAACAAATATCCATCAGATAATTCAACGATTTTTTGAACGGATCCAAGCACTACATGTTACAAAACAAATTGAATTGGGCATTGTGACGTTAGGGGGTGAGATAGCATAACAAATACAAACATAGTGAAGATCACATAGTAATTTTTACTAATCAAGATTTTTCCG